CTTAACTTTAAAAAAAAAAGAAGAAAAATCTCTTACAAAAAAAAGTGAATGAAGTTTTTAGGAACAATATAACTTTCCCTTCTGTGAAATACTTACAGATAGTCTTCTTTTAGCCATCTTTTGCAGTTGAAACCAGTCCTTGAAGTTATGACCTTTGCAGGTCAGTAAAGCAAAGGACAGCTGAAATAAGATCATAAGCAGTTACAGTTCTACCAAGTGAGTGCTTCACTTAACAACACAGTTAATGATTGTCTCAATTGCAGTTGCTAAACAAGGACATGTGTGCATATTCCAGGAAAGCACATAAATATTAATATTAATTGCTGTCAACTTGCCTGCACTTTGAAATAAAAACTCTTGGCCTTTTAATACCAATAGAAGGCAACTTCTCCAATGCCTCCATAATCTGTTGCTATCTGGGATCTATCAGGCTTAAAGCAAACGAGCTTTAGGGGAAGCCCTGAAGGTATATTTGGTCCATCTAGCCATTTCTTCTTTTCAATTTCATTGGGTATGCAAGAGGACAGGCTGCTTACAAAACAACCAGCTGCTGTTCTGTCCCTTTAAGTCCTCTCCCAGCAACTATAGCAATTGTTGGCTATAAAAGCTGATCAGTCAGGCAGCTGGGTGTGGTTGTTGTTAATGTGTGGGAGAAGGAGGTGTGTGTTTCTGAAGTAGCCTAGGGTAGAAATACTGTTCTCCAGTAGTAGGACTCATAAGTAGTAGTAATTGGAGGAGAAATAGTAGAAGTGGGAAAGAGTGGAGTAGTGAGCACTAGCCTCTGAGTGCTTGTGTTTGTGTGTTACCACTACCTGTTGATAGTGTTTAGAGCCCACTAACTTGTGTACATATGGCAAGTGATGGCAAAAGATGGGGTATACAAAAAGGTTGGGGTAGCCAAAAATGTGGAATATTTAAAAGATGGGAAACTAACACAAAGGGGCAACCACATTAAAGTGGCTTAAACTCAGTGAAAAGAAAACTAGCTTTGTCTAAAAAAAAAAGGGGGGGGGGGGCTGCAAAAGCAAAGGAGTTTGGGCCTTGCAGAGTTCACTTGGCAGAAATTAGCCAGTATCCTGCCTGCTGAAACCAGAGCTTATACCAAATATGGAAAAGGCAGAAGGGACAGATTCCTCCTTTGAAGAAGCTACTACTTTGGCAGAGGCAGGTGTCAGTCTATGGTAAAGCCAAAGCAAAAGATAAACCAGCCTGAAATGGAGCTAGGCACTGATACTTGGGCCAATGTCATTGCAGAGCTGATAAGACCTCAGTCAAGAGAAAAGGCTGAAATTAATTAAATACGAAGAGGAGCAACTTTGGAGGAAGAAAGGAAAGATAGGCTGGAATGGCAAAAGGAGGCAAGAGTTGATAGAGCTGATAGACTTACCTAAAGGGATAGTCACTAGAAGGGGTACATTCAACTCTAAAGTTTCCAGAATGTGTAGAGTGGAAGTGGTCCCAAAGACATTTAAATTCCCAAGGAGTCAGAGGAAAAAGAAATAGAAGTCTATTTTACCAGTTCAAAAGAGTAGCTACCTCTTGTAAGTGGCCTGAGAGTGAATGGGTGGTCTGACCCAGCCCCATGTTAATGGGAAAGGCTTTGAGAGCTTATAGTAGTCTTCCAGCAAGAGAAATAGTTGATTACTCTCATGTGAAAGAGATAATCCTATACAGACAGGTTGTCACTCCTTATACCTATAGACAAAGGTGTAGAAACCTATGACAAACATGAAAGGATGTGTGAATTGTGAGCAATGTTGGAAGACTAGACAAGAAATGGTTGAGGCCAGATGAAAAAAGCAAAGGAAAAGTGGTAGAGGAAGTAATTTCAGAACAATTTCTACATGTACTCCTTAACAAATTGAGGTTTTGGGTGCAAAAACACAGCTCAGAATTGGATCAAGGGTAGTTAGATTGTCTAAGGACTACATGGCAGCAAAAAAAAGGTCAGGGGATGTTAGAGAAGATTCAGAAGAAGAGAATAAGAAAGCCTGTTCCAGAAAGTAAGAACAGTAAGGAGCTGGAAGAGAGAAAGGTGAAAGGGAGTAGAGAAGACGTTAACTTCTGCCCAAACTAAAGGAAGGCCTTGGGATGATAGGGACCCATAGTTGTTACACCTGTGGGAAAAGTGGCCATTTTCCAAAGACAGTAAAAGCAAGGAAAAAATGGCTGCAGTAGAGCATCTTTGAGAAGAAAAATTATATTTGAGATATCCCATTGGATAAAGTCCAAGTATATGCAAAAGGGAATGGAACACGTAATGGTGGTAGGAGTTATTCCTAACTTGCCATGTAACCTAGTAATTGGAACAGATTTTCCACTTATTGAAGGCAAGACTCAGAGAAAAAAGGATTTGAGAAAAAGGCTAAGATAGTAGGAGTAACTACAAGGGGTCCCGTCTAAGGCAAAGATGAGAATGGAGCAGAAGCAGGAAGTGAAGGAATTTGGGATTATTCTAACCATCTTAATACAAATGAAATGTCCTAGAACGGAGAAGTGGGAAAGAGTGGAGTAGTGAGCAATAAGTAGTAGCCCAAGTGTTTGTGTGTGTTGTCTAGGGACTTGTGCTCTTGTGTTGGATCTCTGGGGTTTTGGAGCCCACTGACTTGGGTATATATAAAAGAATCCAGGACTGTTTTTATTTTAATGTTCCCTGGCTGTTTTAACTGCCAGGGTCTGAGGATTTCCCCTCATTTCTGTGGTGCTGGCTTCAGTTTTTTTATAGTATTGTTGAGTTTGTTATTGTAGGTAGCTTTGGAAGGCTTGAAAGCAAGCTCTTCTGTATTTATTACATTTATATGCCATCTATTTCACTATCAAGCAACTAAATATTATAAACATGCTGAAGCATTATCTTTAGCAGTTCATTTTCAGAATGAAACAGATGAGTAAACAAATTAACATGACAAAAAGATTCTACACTGTTGGACCAAGTAACGTTCTCAGACCAATGGGGGAATATGTAATCAAAGATCAAAGTAAACTTACAGCCAATTTGCAGGGGGGGGGAACTAAACGGAACCAATCATATGAATAGCATCACATTAGCTGCAGATGATCCATTGTGGGTGACAGGCAATGCATTTGAATGATGTCCTGATAGCTGTACTCCACGCAAGTTGAAAATTCCTCCATGACTTATTTCTTGAGCAGGCACAAATTGGAACTGTTGAGCAGCTTATTTTACATGGTTTCTCTTTTAAAAATGGTTATTTACAAAAGGATAACAAAAAGTGTGGGTAGTAGACCATTTCTTGCTTATGAAACTCCCTCTATTGACTTGTAGAAGCAAGATTAGCCTTTCCTAATGGTGCCTTCCAGGAGAGGATCACCTTCTTTATCCTCTTCCAAGGCTATGCTACAAAGAATTAGGACAACTAAAGTCCAAGTTATCAGGAGGCATGACATATGAGGGAAGGCTGAATGAGATAAAGGGTTATAAATATTCTGTACTATAAAGCAGGGGTCCCCAACCGCCGGTCCGCGGACCGGTACTGGGCCGCGGAACAAGCCTTACCGGGCCGCTGGTTGCTGGGCGCCGCCATCTTTTTTTGGTAAAAAAAGCAATTTTTCGTCAAAAAAGATGGCGGCGCCCAGCTGACGCCGGAACCGGGCCGCGGCGCCCAGCTGACGCCGGAACCGGGCCGCGGCGTCGAAAAGGTTGGGGATCCCTGCTATAAAGAGTCCAAAAGCTGGATTCCTTAAAAGCGAGAAAATTCCCATCTCATTACTAATAGTTGTAGTGTTCATATTACTAACTCAACAAAAAGCACCAACCTCACTACCAATATTGGTAATCATTCTAAAACAATAAGATAGTACTAAAATATTTCAGAATAAGTTATTACTAAAATATTTCAATGGCTTTTCAAATCTAAGGTAGAAAAGCAGTAACTGTCACTTCTTAGAAATGAAATCAACTGGGTTCCCTAAAATTATGTTCAACAAAACCATCTGTGATATTTTGCTGTGGAGAAGTCAGAACCCAGCTATGTGTATCTTGTCTCAGATTTATGTAAGTTTTGGAAAGCTTCATAAGATCTTTGTTCACCTTTAAAAATATTTTACTTTTCATAATACTTGAATCTTGACAATTGAAGTACATGGTTTCAATTTCAAACTTTATATCTACTACTTCATTTAAACTCACAATGTCACAGAAAGGAAGCCTCTACAACAGGAGTGTCAAACTCACATCATCACGGTGACATCACATTGGGACTCCCCCCCCCTTCGCTAAACAGGGCGTGGGCATGGTCAGCACATGATGCATCTGGCCTGTGGGCTGGGAGTTTGACAGCCCTGCTCTACAACTATCCCTTCTTTGAATATTATTTCAGTTTTGATTTTCATTATACAATTGTGTGCATAGTTACTCATTACTAAATTTGATTAGTTAATCCCACAATATTCTGTATATAGTCTTAAATTATCTACCATTCCTAATATTTTTCTCTCTAAAGTAAGTAGTTAGGAGTTCCTGATATTTCTAGATCTCTTAGAGATAGGGGCAGGAAAGTCTCCTAGTGCACCAATCTCAAAAACGAAGTTTAAGAGAACTGATTCTATGAAAAAGGTGTGATACAACACCTGTTGTATAGATATTCTGGATGTTGTAGTCATGCAAATTGACATAGGGCTTATTGCAATGTAGATTGGTACAAGTGAAGTTATAACAGTTTTTAATGGTACATGGGCACATCAAATCCCTGAAGAGAGCCTGAGTGGTTGGCTACTCATTCATCCTCAATTACAATTACACATCTTCATGCCAGTTGCTGCCCACAAATATTAATATGCTTCTGTGATCTTTATTTGGATAAAGGGAGTTTCAATTCTAATACCGGAATTGAAGCAAGAGATGAAAGTGAAATGCCATGCTTTCAAACTTTTTTTTCCTGACAGAAGGCAACTGAGGATTTGGGCTTATATTCCTGAATCATCAGGGTGTGGCTTTCTTGATTTGTGGAACCTTCACAACAGATTTATGGGGAAACATGTACATTTTAAACGAACATTTAATTTCCATTTGTTTAAATTAATATGACATGAAAAATACAAGTAAAATAGTAACAATTCTTGAGACAATACAAACACTCTGCATTTCTTTTTATATATTATCCCTTCATTACAACTTACTGGCATTTTAACAATCACTCATATTCCATTGATTTTATAAATAAATATTTAAAAAGTAGATAACATAGATTAAAATATGGCACATCTTTATATATTTACCAAATGAAATATAATTCTGTTGGATTACATCCCAGTTTAATTCAAAATGTAAAATGTCTTTACATATTAAAAATGTAAAATGTTTTTACAATTCCAGGAAAGGAACCATAAAAGGCATTCCGAGTGATGTAATTGTAATGCTTTGTCATTTTCTCCAGAATTCCTTCAGTTCCTATGTATATGGTAACCATTTAGTGCCCAGTTTTGCACTTCTCCACTGCTGAACAATGCAAAGAAAATAGCTCCAAATAAGTTAAGGGCAGAAGCAATATAAAACACGTTCCGCCATTCTTCTATAGTGTTCTGGTAAAAGAGGAATACAGAGGATGAATCAGTACAGCATGATGATGCTTAAGAGTGAGAAAAACGCTTTCCATTAAGATATTCTTTCAGTATCCTGTTTCAAGTCTTTTGTTTTATCTTTTTTATTCTTAAGCTCATTTTTTTTCCTTTTTCAATATTAGATGTAATTAACCTAGTTAACAGCTCAGCAATCTGCAACTTTCTTTAGGTGAAGCAGATCTATAGTTTAAAGATTATTACAACTGAATTCACTAATATTTGGTATTTGTGCTAACTATTATATCTAAGTAAAACTATCCACACTCGTAACTTCCCTCCAAAGAGCTTTATTGTTCTCTTTCCTATTGTTTTATTTCATCAAACTTGAGAGGAATAAAGTATGTGGGTTAAGATTACCCATTGAACTGCATGCATGGTTGAATGAAAATTCAGCTTTGATATATGCAATCTGAAATTGTGTCAAAATGATCACAGGTTCATACTGATATCATGACAAAAACTCCACTCTTGCATACGTGTGGCTTACACTCTCTTGCTGTTAAATAAACAGTTTTCTATCTTACTATAATTTATGTGATATCCCTCCATCCTGCCTCCACTGTAGATATCAGTGAAAGTGGGGGAATCCTGTTTCTTTTGGGGCCATTATTTCAACTGTTTTAAAGACTCTAATCTTAAAAAAAAAGCTGCCCACCTTCCATGAGAAAAGTGGACTAGTCAGTTTGGCCAAGATTAAAACTGTGTAGTTTGAAAAGGAATCCTAGAAATGAATTTGAGCAAAGCACAGCAAAATGGTAAGCTTAAATATGAATTACTAGTGAATATAGATAAGAAGAACATGGTGACTAAAGAAAGAAAGGAACTTGGTAAAAGTTAGATTGGGGGAAAACTACACACACAATTAAATACTTTGGGCTAACCCTTCAATGCTTTGTTTATAAGTTTTCCAGTAATTCATAACTGGAATAATAAAATGTATAAAGAATCATGTGGATATTGATATAGCTAAGGCATTTTAATTTTCACTGTTAAATAAAAATGCAATGCTATTTTACCACTATACAGAAGTTTTAGCCGGGAAATTTGCTTCCACCTATTGCAAGATCTTTGTTAACAAACTACAGCACTTTCACCATGTAAATTAGAACTTTCTAAGCTCATAGACAAAGAGAGCTAGGACTAATTAACAATTATTTTAATTCCATGTTAGATTATGGCTACTGTTTGACTTAGGCAGATTCTACTCTACCTTGCTGAATTGCAACCTCAGGCATAATTAAATAGCAAGAAGTGAGAAGAAAAGGAGGACATGAAGATTCAATCATTTGTCTTAGAAAAAAAGTGTAGATATCACACTGCCACTCTTGTTCAGGAACAAGCACCAAATTTAAGTAACCTCAGTTTACTGACTTAGATACCACTACAAAGTGTGGAAATGGAAAATAAGAATTTAGTTAAGATTTAAATGAGCTCATATTGGAAAGTACCATTTATTTCTGATTTAAAGCATTATAAGAGCCTTGGTAGTGCAGTGGTTAGAGTGCAACTGCAAACTACTTCTGCTGTCTGCAATTTGGCAGATCGAATCCCACCAGGTTCAAGGTCGACTCAGCCTTCCATCCTTCTGAGGTGGGTAAAATGAAGACCCAGATTGTTGGGGGCAATATACTGACTCTCTAAACCACTTAGAGAGGGCTGTAAAGCACTATAAAGCAATATATGTCTAAGTGCTATTTCTATTATTCTCGAGAACTGGAATTTAAACTGTAACTTAAAAGTTACAGATTTATTTGTGCAAAACAAACCAATGGGGAATTTGGCATATCTTCTCCAATTAAGCAAAAGGACAAAAGAGCTATAATTATAATCTATATATGTGGTTTTTATTGCATACATAAGTTACAGTCAAAGTTAAAACTTTAACCCTAGTTTCTAAAGATGCTTAATAATACACACTAAATTGTAACTGACATTCCTTCAGTATTATATTGAGAAATAAATGAAGAATTTTTTGAAGCTGCTTAGTTACAAACTTCTAGCTGTATGGCGCTTTTTTTTTTTTAAAAAAAAAAAGACAAAACATTAATGTGAATATATAGAAACATTCTTCAGAGGTCTGGTGTAAATACTTTTTTAATTAATATTTTGAATTCATGTTTCCTTTCTTGTGCTGTGACTTCTCCTGATTATAGACTATCCTAATTTTATTTTATATTTATTTAACTTGGTTGCTGACTTTGGGAGTTACTTTGCACTGTTTTGTGAGAAGAATTATTTTAAAATAAAGAGATTTGTACTGGGAAATCTTGGAACATATTTTTTTTTGCTAAAAGATATATTTTTACAGAGTTCTATCAAGAGCTAATCTGATGAAAGAATAAACAGAATATTAAGGGAAAATAAATAATTGGCTGTATTTATTATGTAATTTAAGACACACTTGAGTCAATATTATTTTCTTGAAAGTATCTAGATAGATTCATGTGATTTTTTTTTAAAGTAACAAAGTGCAGTTTAACAGTGGTCATTCCTGGGATATTCTTCCAACTTCTCAGCCAGCCTACAATCTTAGGATTTTGTGGTGATTTCTTATCAAGTACAATGGTCAGCCTTTTGAGATCAGTAAGGGAATACAGTTATTACTCAACTAAGAATGGTACACGAGACTTTTTTTTACTTTATTAAAAATAAAATAAGTGTGACTTACACTGTGAGTCAGAGCTTTAGCAACAAGTGGTCCCACCATTCCTGGAATAGTACCAAATGTATTTGTGATTCCAAGGAGGATGCCAGCATAGCTAAGTTAATAGGAGAAAACAAGGATTAGTCCTTGGAACTTTCCAGTTCTCAATTTTGCAATTCTTTTCCTGCCCCTTCAGAACCAGATTAAATTATATGTGCACTTCCACAATGGAGGAATTTTCTCAACAGCAGTCCAAGCATTTTGGCATCCAAAGCCCTCCTGACAGACTGAAATGGGAGACGAGAAAGAATTTCACACATGATTCATCCACTTGTCTGCAAAGGATTAGAAACGCTTCTCATGTGTCCAAGGTTCTTAGATATTAGCATGGGGATTCCCACTGCAAATTAAATGGTCTCCCTCCAACTTCATTTTAGCTCAGACTTGACAGCTAAGACAAACTATACTTTCCAACAGCCTTGTTATTTAATAAATGCACATATACAGTAGATACCTATGGTATGCATACTGCAAATGTTAAGCACAAAGTTTATTTCAAAACAGCTCAGTGTAGCATTTCCTCTCAGAAAAAAGTAAGCTCTTCCTTCCATTAAGAAATGTCTTTAGTTCTATAATGTCTACAACTGGCCCCTTTCAACAACTATGCCATTTACAAGGGAATCTCCATACACACAAAAAAATGGTCCTTCTGGGAAAATATTACGAAACAAAGGATTGTCAGTCAATATAAATTATTGTGTATTGGTATCTGAATGCAGCTGGTATGTTCTAGATAATCTTGTACAATCTATACTTATATTCTCTCAGAAATACTATATAGATTGAAGATGTGGGGTCTATTCGATAAACAAAATGGTATAACTAGCTATTAGCGTTGTAATACTTATAACATAATGGGAAAGTAACTAAATTATAATTTTAAAACAGCCAATCAACTGCATGTTTTAGAAGAAATATGATCTAGGGAAGCTTATAATATAATACATTTCTTAAAGGTGCCACAAGAATCTGTACTGTTTTTGTTGCAATAACAAGAATTAAAGCTTTAAATTTTGATGTGGTTATTGCTTGAAGTTAATATTTGAAATGTGTTTGCCACTCTCCAAAGTTTTAAAAAAACATGTTCAGTGTTCTGTGGAATTGAATGGCATCATGATCCCGTGTGTGTCGTGAGGGAACAAAAACAACAAACACCCTCCCAAACACACAAAGCCCAAATGGATATAGAGGAGCATTTGATGATCCAGGAAGATGCTGTCATTATGAGAAATGTGACAAGTGGAAAGCAGGAGGATTAACAGCTGTACACATCTGTTTGTCCACCAGCTCCAGGTGGCAAAGTAAGGGTAAGGGAAAGGAACATCTGGTAACTATGGAAGATTGGAGGAACCATGTTGGGGAAAGAATATTTTCCATTCATAACAAAATTATTTCCCCCCAACTTTTGTTTCTCTATATTTTTTTCATTCACTTTGGCAAAAAAGAACTGTTCCCAATGGGGCTTTCAATGCTAGATTTATAAAATCTGCCACACCAAAATCTGTCTTTTATAGGAACATGCTGGGCAATGGTTTTCTCTGCCCAATACAAGGGAGCCAACTGCAAACTGTCCAGCAATTATCACTTGAGAACTTAAGTAAGTTTCTTCTGACTGAGGACACAAGAAACGAAGCCCAAGATTTGCTTTTTAAGTTTGGTTTTGATAAGTGTTTTGGGGTTCTCTTCATTCCAGCTGGGACAAGCCATGATCAACATGGCACAGCATGCCCAAAATGGGAGCAGCAGCTAGCAACAATTGTAGATAAATTAGCTTTTGTCACATGCACTGTAATATCTACTTTTATTATTTCTAAATTATTTTGAAAGAGTTCTGATGTTATCTTCTATTTGTCACTCTTCCCTAGTCTTCTCCATTTATCTTTATTCTTAATGGAAAATAAACAAAAATATTAAGGATGAAAATATTTTTTCTTTCATCACTAAGAAATGTCTATCAGGAAGGAATCTATAGTTGTCCTCTGATATTTGTACCAGTTTTGGAGAACATGCCCAATGTTGATGACAATAAAAATTCAACTTGTGTGAACCTCTTAAGGAATGACATGGCTTGCAACAATCTACAATGTCTAAAATCACTCTTCATTGAATTCTGTGCCTTATACATAATATAACGAGATTATCTGTTTCAGGAAAGCTTAATTAACAGCTAGTAAAAAACATAACTAGTAAAAACTGTTAAAAAACTTACGATGGTGCAATATCCAAGTGGTTGATACTGTAACCTGATGTGGAGAACCCTCCAAGTGTTGTTGATATAGTTAAAAATACAACTGCCACTTCATAATTGCAACCTATAAATCCAGCCGCCATGAGGAATACTGCAGGTCCAATCATTCCTTAATTAAAACAAAAAATAGAAAACTTTATACAAGCACTTTCTATTAATTATGTTCACGATATTTTAGTGTAGTTTTGTTTTTTGTTTATTTTATACAAGTAGTTATAGCTTTCATCTCTTGACCTGCAACAAAGGATCACTGAAGCATAATTTCACCATCCCTAAATAGATAACATTGTCTAAAATAGACAATAACTCAGCAATATCATAGTAATATTGTCAGGGAACAAGAATGGTAATACACATTCCTTGGAATTCATAAATGGAAACAGGTGTAGTCTCCTCTGATCCATCCAAGCTCAAAGAACCCACTACAGTATTATCAGCACAAGAAAGTCAATATGTTGGAGACATAGAGGATTAGTATTATGTAGACATTGGGAAACAAAGCAGGATTTTAGAAGAAAGCAGGTAGAACAGTGGGCACACAAGATGAGGGTATTTGTAATTTGATAGCAGAACATATGTACTATGTAGAAAGGTTGAACTCATTTTTACATAAATTCCCAGTAACTGGAATGGATGTATATTTACATTTTTTTAAAATCGGAGTTTATTTCCAGTTTCTGGCAAAACCTACCCATTGTAGACAATAGGTTTGCTTTATGACTACAGTGTTTGCTTTATGACCGTTACAAAAGTCATAAAATTGGGTGTAGTCATGTGGGGATCCACTTAATGTCCAGTACAATGTACAAACACTTCAGGCTTAATTATGGTTGTACATCAAGGAGACTATCTGTATAAGAATGCATCCTCAATACAGTGGCATTTAATGGACAGTTCAGTATATTAAATGGTAGAAATCTAACATCATTATTAAAAGATTCAAATTAATTAAAAATGATGGTGTTTGCTGGAGTAGCATGATACTGTTTTTAATGGCTTGCCTAAATTACACTTATGCTTTCTGCTAGCCATATTACAAAATGTGCATCAAAATTCCTGCTAGACTTTCTTGGAGGTTGTCTAAATATTTATCCATATGACTTTAAAGAAATCAGCTGTTTTTTAATGCAAGCTAAGAGTATATTAATTTGTGTGTTCTGTGTGATACTTTGAGATTGGCTGATTATTACTATTTTGCTATGATAAAAAAACTAAAAAATTAAATTAGAAAATATCGACTGATTGTCCTGCTTTCTATTGCCATCTAGTGTACAAAACAAACTTTAAAATTCAGATGGGGGTATCCTGCCTTTCACATTTTATACAATATCCAAGCTGTTGCTGCAGCTTTACTAAAATCAACACACTGAATCTATTTTAAAAATCAATTGGGTCAGTAAAAAAAAAGAATACACAAAGTTATTAACAGTCTTCATTGTGTTCAAAGCTATTTATTTTAAGACAAGGCAGCAAAGGCTAATGTAGAAAACAAAAAAATGTGAATAAAAGGATACCCATTTCCTTATCTAACAATCTCAAAATTAATTTATGCTTGGTAATTTCAGTTTGTTTCAAAGTATTTAGTTATCAAGGACAAAAGATTCAGAGGGAAGCAAGAACATGGCAGCTGTAGTTAAGCAAGTATAAGTAGCAGAAGCACATTGGAATATCTAAGTAGTCCTAGAGAAGATGCTTTTCTGAACTTCAAGAGAGCTACTTTCTACTTAGTACTATATAATCTACTTTGTATTATGCCATTGTATCAGGTGAACAAAAGTTTGAATTGGCATAAGGCAGCTTCCTATCATTTTGAGCACTTATAATGCTAGCATGTTTTGCCCATGCTTCCCCCCCCCCCCCCCCCAAAAAAAAAATGTTTCCAAAAATTTCAGGGTGATCCTTATCATTAATGTTGAGAAGCACCAGTCTGGCAGGGAGGGAGCTCAAACAGGGAGTTAGCCTAGAGTCACTGCACAAATGCAAAAGGGCTAAGACTACTCCTCCCCCAGGTTTCTTAGAGCCTTATCTAATTGTTCCCAAGTGTAGACTGCCAGACTGGGGAAATTACAGGTAGAACATAATAATTAGGTTGCATTCTGCAAATGTGGGTCTAGTTGTTCACACCTGAAATTAATAGATGTAATTACCATAGGGAAATCTTATTTTAAGTGTACATATAGTCCTCTTAGATTGTGACCTTCACACATATGCAAGATATGTTGGGCCAATCCAGGAAGGAGCAGGGTCCTTCTGACCAACTACTGTATTGTAATTGGAAAAGCTCATCTTATGTAAGAAATGCCATGTCTGGAAATGAATGAATGAATGGATGGATAGATAGATAGATAGATAGATAGATAGATAGATAGATAGATAGATAGTATTACATTCAAAAAATTAAAGGGTGTCGTATCAAACACTAAGTATTCTAAAATACCAACCAATTCACTTTCATTCTAGCAGTATTCTCAATGAGTTATAGACTACATTACAAACGTCTTTCTTACCTATTGCTGTAAATGTTTTGCGAACACAGACTGTTGACATATTTTTCTTTTCCCGTAAATAGTCTGCAAACTGACCACACACAATTATACAAACCCAGCAGCCGAAATAAGGAAGTGCAGATAAAAATCCATTCTGTAGAGGGGGGAAATGGTTGGGGATGGCTCTGTTATTAAAAATAGTTTGAACGATTCTTTGTTGGATCATAGATATGATTTATGATATAACCATGAGTAATGTATCACATTTTTAGATATGATCATACACCCACAAACACACCTATAGAGAGGATCACAGATTTAAAAATAAGCACAAACAGAAACAACATATTAATAAATAATGCAGGCAAGCGACCAGTAATTTATATACAACTTTTTGTGACTCTTTTGATACTGATCCATCTTCAGGTTACTTCATTCCTTCCAACCACCAAACAGATGTTTGACAAGATGAGAAAAATACAGCCTCTCTCTGGTTTCCTTCATTATAAAAGCTTATATATATATTTAATATGGATATGGAGCTTCCAGACAATTGTTGAAATTGCCTGAAGCCTTTGAGAATAAAGGCACCGCTTAAAAAGTACTTAAATGAAGTAACCTTTTTAAATGAAAAACAATGAAAAACAACTTATAAAAATTAATTTTAAGTATGCGGCCAAGATGTAGCACCTGTTCCATTGGAGAACCATTATAAAAGACAAAGCTTTTTTTCATGATTCTGGATTAGAATGGATATTGCCATTGCCTCATTTGGTTTAGGTGTATTTTACTGGTAGAAAGGCAGATATTAGTTCAACAGAGCCTTTTAGATTTAAGGCACTGCAGTTAAAAAAAGAAAAGAAACCCCCCCCCCCCCACCCGCGGGCTGGATGCGTCACTCACAGGCCATGCCCATCCCAGCTCCACGAATGGGAAAAACATCATGAAACATCACATGACAGACGGCAACGTAACGCGGGAAGTTTGACACCCATGATGTAAACAACATAAAAAGGGGAAAAAAGAAAGCAAGATTCTAAGTTCTGATTACATAATAGCTGAAGAATTTAAACTGCTCTGTCCTGTTACTAAGATTCTTCCCTTGTACTTATTAAGTATATAACCTTCTGAAGAAATGCAAGTATGCATCAGGCAATGTGGCAATAGCCAGCCACACCAACAGGCTGCAGAACAGTTTCTACCTGTGGGCTGTCAAGACTTCTGAAAATAACTTCATGCAACATAGTATGACAGACTTGCGGGGCCGGCAATAAGATCACATAGGGCAGGGGTCTCTAACCTTGGCAACTTTAACACTTGTGGACTTCAACTCCCAGAATTCCTCAGCCAGCAAAGCTGTCTGAGGAATTCTGGGAGTTGAAGTCCACAAGTCTTAAAGTTGCCAAGGTTGGAGACCCCGACATAGGGTAATAAGATTGGGTCTGAGTTAGGGACTTCTGTCCTCACTGTGAGTTGTGTGTGTGGGGGTGTGTGTGCATGAAGGGAGGCTCAGCCAATCTCATTGTACACATGTTGTACTCTGACAATAAAGGTAATAAATAATCTGTAGGAAGCCAACATTTTTCTCCATTTTTTTTCCTTTTAGAATAGTCCACACAGATGACTACTTGTGAAAAGGCCCCACTAACAGAGTTCATAGTGTCCACTTATTACGATAATTTCGTAAAAGAAATTCTCCTGGAGTACACACACGGTAATTTAACTATAGCCATATCCCAGGAAGATTATGTAATATTTGGTTCTTACAAACATCTGAACTTCTGTTGATTAGAAAGATGGACAGAAATGCAAGAATTGGGCCTAAGATTGGGAATCAAATTCTCATTCAGTCTAGATATTAACTGAATTACTAATAATTAATACAGTTATAAAGCCGCCTGGATCTAGGCTCACGGTTGTACCACTTTAGGATTCAAGTTAATCTTTGTAACATTGGAATGCATAGGATAGCTTACCTCCTGGACATCAAATCTCAATATCTCCTTCATGTATGTAGGCAGCAGGGTAAGGAGAGTGTAGAATGTCCAATTATAAGAAAAGTGTGCAACAACAATGGCCCACAGCGGAACAGATTTCAACATGGCTTTCCAAGGCACAGATTTTTGGGTAGAAAGCTAAATGGAAAGAATACATTCAAAACCTTTAGATCTCAAGGAATTTAATTTTTAAAGAATCTGTTGTTCAGCATTATGAAGGGTTAATTCTGATGTAACAAATTTTTGATACATAGATAAAATATAAAAAAAACTAGGCTATATGATCAGGTACTGAATCTAAATCTTTCATTGGAGAATAGCTACCACCATTTCACTGTAGTTGTATTAAGATGAAAATCCTAGGTTTGAAGAACTTGTTTTTGAAGATGAATGGAATCCTTAGTTGTTCTTGTCTTTTAATTTTTAAAAAAATTACCATGATTAAAAGGTACTACTTTTCTCTTTTATATATAAAGTGGATATTTATACTTTATATTGCAATTAAGCTGGATGATAACTTAAGTATTTACTGATGGTTCATACCTGTTGTGAAAGAGAAGACAAAATATATTCTTTTTCAGCCAGGGAAATTGTCTTGTGAGTTTCAGGTGTATTGCTAACCATACATATCCAGAAGAGGAACCACAAAACACCTAAGGTACCTTAGAGTGAAAGAAAAAAAAATGCTTGTGTTTTAAGTTGAAGACAGGAAAAACATGTCTATGGCTAGACTAACTAAAAATTATCTGCATGTGAATGTAAGAGCCTTGTAATAAAGCTTTGCAAGAAAAAAAAGATTGAAAAGTTACAGGGCATTTCAACAGCATTGTTTTTCTGTAATGTTTACAAGTTTGTGTCAATGTGTCCTAGTCATAGCAAAACCAATTGTTAGCGCATAACATACAGTACTTAACATAGTAACTTTTAGACCTGTTGGCTCCAGTATAGCTAAAGGTGTTACATGTAAAACGATAGCAGCTGGGAGAGGAGAAACACACACACACACACACACACACGGAAAATGCTTAGAAAATATGATTATTACATAAAGGCTGAATTATTAAGGAAAATACAAGCCCACATCCCATGACTGCTTGGAATCATCAAATTTCTCAACCATTTGCATCTTCCTGACAGAAAAAATAAAATAAAACCACACAATCAAATCTCCACAAGTCGGTAAAAAAAAAGCATCTGTACAAGTATAATAGTTTACATAGGTGCACTATTCTGGAATTAAACACAAAAAGCCTTAAGCAAAGAATTATGCTTACAATGAGACTACTTACCAAATATGTAGAATACATAACTCCAATCTACATAAAAGCATATTACACCAGACAAGGGAAGTGAGACAACCGTTCCTAGCTGTGCACCTACAAATTAAAATATTTTTTTTTTAAATGCTGACAGTATGTATCTTAGTAAACAAATTATTTATCAAGCATGGCTAAAATAATAACTGAGTTAAGGATAACCTTGGTTAAAAGCAAGGCCTGCATTATAGTGAGCCATGGCCACGGGCACCAGGAAGAATACAGGATGAGGGAAGGGAAAAAATTCATAGCCCATAGTCAACCATGGTCAAATTTAAAAATATTTATGGAATCTTACCTGCATATGAAATACTAAGAAGTTTACTACGTTCTAATGGAGGAGCCCAATTAGACCACATAGCATGCATGGCTGGGAACGTTACACCCTGGAAAATATATTTGTTTATCATATATACTATAATATAATATATATATATATATATAGCCCAAAAACAAGATAATTGATAAAATACAATATTTTATTTTAATGAAATGTTTTTCTTCAATAAATCCTCGGAAAGTATTGGTTATATTAGCATGAAGCCGTTTTCAACAAGTGCACATAGCTAAAGAGCAATTAAGCAGAACTTATTTCTTGCCCATCATAGTCCTTCAGATAAAAATGTTTTTGGGAGTTATACTGATCGCTCAAGTCTTAGCCACCAAAATATTTCTTCTATCTAGACCATAAATACTGATATGTAGTGAAGCATGATGTAATGTAATCAGACAATGAAAGATTTTTTAATTAAAAAAAACCCTTATTCTTAAATTTAGACCCCAGTTAAAGTAATGCAGAATTTAAAATGAAAAAAAAAAAAAAAGAAGCAATAATGTTTAAGATGCAAGAGCATCCAAAGATGCAAAGGGACAATCCATTTTAGGATCAACTTCTAGGATACTTTTAAGAAACTAGTCTTTTGTTGTTCACTAGGGAATATTATGGGCAGAGTCTATTCTGATAACAGTTGTCACTGGATGCTGCTCCAGACAACTAAACAATATTTTATTATGGTCAACTCTTGAATAGTCTGCTCTGCTGATATTATTTTTAAAGATACTCCATTGAGTATGGCATTTTATTTATTCATTAAACGTTTATGCTTCCTATTTCCCCTGTAAGGTAACTCTGGGCATAATTTTGCATCATGAATCTGATTTAATGATTAACTATTTTGTGCTCCAAAATATTGAGAACTGCAATGAAAATGATTAACTGCGACAAAAAAGGAAGTCCTTCATTAAATATTATAAGGTACAAATGAAGCTGAAATTTGTCTTCGTGCCTTCACTTTGGGGATCCATGTTCTTGGCATATTCTTTGCTCATCCTTCCCAGGAATACCTTCTACTAATATGAGGCAGCAGGACTGGAGGGTTGGATTAGGTACAGAACAGTATACTTCATATCTACAATTTTTCACAAAGAAGGTGCTTTACACTCCACACACTTGTCTTTACAAATAGTACAGTTACACTCACAAAAACCCCCACATAATTTTCGTAATTTTCATGTGGACCTAGAACTGACAGAAAAGAAGAAACACTCAAGTTCCATATCTAAGTCCAACATGTTGAAGTTCTGTGTCAAGATTTAAGAGTGTGTGGAACCAGGAGATACTCATGTCAGAAAAATAATGAAAAGTGGTGGTCAATTGGGTGTTTCCCCTTCTTTTCCCACGTTTTTGCCAATATCAAAGGAAAAATGAGAAATTACCTCACCCAAACCTTCTAAAACTCTGACTGCTATGAGGAACCCAGCTCCTAGATCTGCTGCTAATGGTGTGAACAAGGTGAAAACAGCAGTACCCAAGATGCCAAATCCCAGCAGCAGCTTTGCCCCAAATCGGCGTGCCAGATATCCCCCAGGAACCTGAGTAATGATGTAGCCATAGAAAAAGGACCCAAGGATCCAGCCTTGCATATCAGCATCCCAAGGATAGCTTTTTCCCTAAAAAGAGAAGAGGAAGAGGCAATATTTTCTACATCATAAGAGAAAAAAAGAAGTATTGTGTTCTCCCACTCTTTAATGACATATGATCCTTTGTGGACTTTGCTCCCAAATACAGCCTGGTTAACAAATCCCATTTTCTGTAACAGTAATCTCTGTGCTCATTAGTATGACTTACATGAAAAAAGCCTCTTACAATGTATACCCACTACAGAAACAACCACATCATTTTTTACTGTTTCCTACGTTAACTATTACAATATATCAAAGAGAAGTGCTATAACATTTTTAAATAATGTAAATAATATATGCATTATTTTGGAATCCTTTTCTGGTTGTTTTTTATTTTTTATCAATGCATTCAATTATGTTACCGTGCTTGAAATACAAGACATTACACACTTTTGTTAGCAGCCCAAAGGCACATAAATAAAAGAAGTCTCTTATACTAAACTTGATCACTGATATATCTC